TTCTATCTGAGTTTGCATGATAAAAGTCCTGATTTCTTTTGGGGTTTCTGAGTCTATTTGTTAGTATTTGTTTGATTTACTTGTTTATCATCTCTAGACTCGATTGGTGTTGAAAACCCTAATTTCTTTTGGGTTCATTCGAGTCTCTGAAGCAGTCTGCTAAGTATTTGTGTAATCTATTTGTTCATCATCTTTAAACTCGACTGGTTTCGAAAACCCTAATTTCTTTGGGGTCTATTCGAGTTTCTGAAACTGCTTGTGCAATTCATTTGTGTGAAATTGCTCGACTTGATTTGAAATTCCTTTGTTTCAGCATCTCTTTTCTTTATGCGATTCCTTTGGTTATGAGTTCTTACTATCTTTGAAACTCGACTATGCTTTTCAGAAGGGTTTTTCACTTGACCCTTTGCATGCTTCTGATACTCTATTTTTTTCTCTACTACTAAGTCAATGAAACTTGACCTACGTGACTATCATGTTTCGAATGTTTGTTGTCTACTAACTTTGTGCTATTATTGCATGCTGTTTCCTTTTGCCAATAGTTTGGCCTCACATGTCCAGTGTTTGTGCACTCTATTTATATGCTGAGTTTCCTTCTTTGATTGACCTTCAATTGTGTGACTAATTTCAAACTTTTCTTTTGTGAAAATCTGATTTAACTCGCCCGTTATGGTTAATTGATTTCTTTCCTTGTTTTGCCTTACTGAATCCTTTCCAAAACAAGTATATTCCTGTACTTAGACTTAATCACTTACTCAATTGTCTTACTACTTCTTTTATGGCAATAATCAGTCTGCCTATAAATTGATTTCTTTCCTTATTTTGAACCTGTCACTGACCGTTAAGCAAGTGATCACTTAATTAAAGGCAATCACTTGTGTAATTGATTCTGAATAGTGATTGTTTCCATGTTTGTGGCTTATTACTTCTCTTTAACTCGTTTTCAAAAAGCTATAAATACCCTGTACTTCTCTTCTTTCAAAGACGAACACAAGGCATAAAATACCTAAGTTCATACACACACTCCACTAAAATCTCTCTCTTTTCTTTGTTTCTATTTGTATTGTTGCCTTACCTAGCCGGCTGAAAGCTAAGGCTAGGCTGTGGGAAGCCCGCTTATTTTTCTCTGCATTTGCATTTTACTGGTATGTTCTAATTAGCTTTTGCACCAACAACATCATGTTTCTTTACTGTCTCTTTCATACTTGCTTGTCCCCTGTTTGTATTTAACCTAGTACCATTATTAAACATGCTTTAATCTGCCCTTTCTCTAAATTAATGCTTTGTCCACTACTTACTATAATTTGTGAATCCTAAATCCCTGCCCCAATGTGTTTAATACTTGTATTTGGTTTGGGGCATAACAACATTGGACATTATTGTGCATGGCCCAAACCTGATTCTCCTGGGATCATAACCTCCATGTTTCTTCCAGATGTTGTGTGTTCTGATTGGTTTATAAGCATGTCAGCACCTTTTATTGTTGTGCTTGCCCAAAACTGATCCATGCCTAAGTGCATGGGCTCCTTGCAATGGATTCCCAACCCTTGATCCCCCTTTGTATGAAGTTATTAACTCTATGTGTTATTGATTACTGTCTCCCTATCACCCTTTACCCCTTCTCCTTTATCCCCTCAGTTTTTAAAACTCTGTTCCTACACTTTCACTATTCTCTTAGAACTTAAGTTCTGCCCTCCTTGTGTGAGCATTGCCTTGGGACCCATAAGCTCCCTCTAAACTTGGACACATAAGGGCTGGCACTCCCACACTGCACTCATCTCTATTCTGGTTATGTAACTTGGGTGTGAGCACTGCCTTGGGTCCTATTGAGACCCTTAGGGAACTTTGACACATTCAAGTCTGAGAAAGGCTTTGAATCAATGGCATTTGAGGTGGTTTATTCCATAACTCAGAGAGGAAGTCAAGAATCAGGTTTCCTCTGAATGTAACTTTTTTTTGAACTTTTCTGGTGTAATTCATTATTTTTGGTCTGCAATAATTTGTAATAAACACTTGGGGCTGGCTAGTGAAAAGGGTTGGATAATCATGTATGTTCCAGGGTAGAAAGCATTCCTATAAGACTTTTCTTTTTATTCTGCGTGTTCAATTCTACATTTTAGACACCATGTCTATAGGGTTTATCTTAATTTCTTCACGATCAATTTCATATCTAGATAACCTGCCTATAGGACTTATTTATAATTCTGCATGTTTGTTGTCACTTAGATATCATATTTTAGGTTCTAAACGGCTATAAGTAAGTATCATGTTCATAAGGTTGAAATCAGTATAATATATAGAAATCATGCCTATAGGGATTCTCAAGAAAATCCTGTTCGTTTCCGTTAATATTAAATGTTAGATATCATGCCTATAGGGATTAAAATCAGCAAATATTAGATACCATCGCCTACAGAATCTGCAACTAGTTCAATTTCAAATCAGCTCGATTCCAAACCAGTTTTAAACAATTTTCCTTCTTTATTTAACGAGGTTTAGCAAGCATGCCTATAGGATCCCAGACCATTCGTTTTAAGTTGTTACTGCTTTGTCACACTTTGAATAAGTAAATAGATACCATGTTCCTAAGAG